AAAAAAATATTAAAATTTTGTTTGTGACAATGTTATCGAATTTTCAACTTTTCAAATTTGTTCTCATTTATTAAATATTTATATTATATATATATTTAATTTTTAATTAATCTGTTGCGTAATTTCCTTATACATATATTGTGTATAAATACCACAGACTACAAAGGCGGTGATTGTACAATAGTTTTATTCGCCTCAAATTTAATCAACCGACAATGTAAAGCATTAATGCATGATACAAGCTTTGGGCAAAAAGTAAAAGCATTTTACAGCCTCATCAAAAATAACTAAGTTAATAAGGTATAAAAAACTTTTGATATGGAAATTAGAGGTTCATATGCCAAATAAGAGCGCGGGCTGCCAGCTCAAAGATTAGCAATTTACATTTAAATATATCTTTTTGAAAAAAGTAATAATAGACGTGTTATTACAAAATGGTGTCGGATCTTTTTAGTTTTAATGCAATTTAATTCCATAATTAAAAGTATTTTTATATTGAGAACCCTCGGAATAAAACTTATATATAATATTTTTACGTAATATTTTTGGAGATTTATGTAATTACGAGAAAATTTTATGTACATAGTATAGTATTTATGAAGTACCTGTACGATATTCTAGACGTACTTTTTAGGCTATTCACAGGTTAGTTTTACAATCCTAATTCTTATAAACATTGGTCAAATGCGTTACAATGTTACGTCTATGTTTCAATTACTCCTATGTAACTTGTAAATGAACACCTGTATGTCGTGATTGTTACAAATCGTTTGTTTATATTGGCTTTGTGTAGGTACACGTCACGTACGAAAAGAAAGCTCTACGATATCGAAAGATTAAATTAATTATAGAAATTCTAGCTCAAGTTAGGATGTTTTTCAGTTTTTGTTTTGGTTAAGACAAATTTTTGATTGTGTCTTTTAAACATATGCCCGAAGTTTTTTTATGCAATTTCGATATAGTTTTTATCAATAGCCGTCCTCTGATATTCTCTCAACAACGAAACACTCGCAAAAATGTATCATACGGTAAAGGGAAATATCAGGAGGAAACATGGAAGACTCAGACCGATGCAGTGTATCAGGCATAGAAAGAAGGCTGAGGAAATCTCTCAAGATCAAGGGTTAACGTGTCTCTTACAACAATAGCAAATACTATTTATGCTTGTGTATGATAGCTGGTTAGGAGATGGTATTTAGAGAATTTATGGCCACTAATAACACTAGTTTTAATTAAAAAAGAATGCCATTATTAAGTACTCATTAACATCCCATTATTTTGAGCTGCAATTAGGCAGACCATCTCATTTGTGTCCGCGCTCTGAAAATCTGATTACAGAGTCAACGCGCGAATACTGACAGCTGACAGATGACAATTCGCGCCTGTCGGCAGCCATTATGGTTACGCATTTGAATTATGCAACATCATGTACCTATCTAGTACCAATTACGTAGTCAAATTTCACTTACAATTCGAATAAATTTACTATTTTTAAAAAAAATAGCAAAATCTCAACTAAAGATTCAAGTACCAACATAAAAGTAGATAATAGACAATTTTTATTATTCCTGATGTTATTCGGTGGTTTTATTATACTATATTAAAATATAATATTAAACCACCGGGGAATAACTTATGGCATAGGTCGAACTCCTTCGCGACCTTTATAACACGATCTTTATAACAATATCAAATTGGAAATTCCAATTTTAGGCGTTAAATGAAACAGGAAACCAAACCGTTACCCCTCCTTGTAATTCTATACTTTAAGAGATTCAACTTAGCCAAATTCATCATTAAACTATTTCGAAAAAAAGGAGTCTTGTTTTGACCCTTCAATACGTTGGCGTTTTTCTAATTTCCGCAGAAAAATATGTTATTTTTCATCAAAAATGGTTTCTGTAGAAGCAATAAAATCTCATTGGCCAGAGCTACACAATAAAGTTGGTCCGCGGGGACGAGTACGTTCGTACAACTCAAATATTAAAAATTAATCGAACGAGTGTTTACTTACATTTCGAAGCTGGTTTTTTATCTTTTAATTTATAATCTATTTATTTTTATTAAGAAAATAGATTAAAGTAACGACAAAATTAGTTAACAGTTGTCTTTAAAAATATTGATATACATTGACGTGATTGATAAAAATATTGATTAGAATAAAGTAACGGTTTTATATAATACCAAAAAAAATAATAATTTGCAGAGTTTATCTTTCTTCGGGAACTTTCTGTTAGGACTGTAGGTAATATCCTGATTAATATTCTAGAACTGTATGTCGACCATTTAACAAATTTCTTTTGTTTCTAGAATATTTTATTTTGTTTGTCATTTTTAAAACAACATTAATTCTTATTACACAAGAAAGTTATATATAAAAATACTTAAACATCCTACGCGGATGCTTCTTGCTGTATTATAGTATAGTACACAACTATTCAGAGCATGCTGTATATCGTGTTTGATTATGATGGTTTTAATACAAAACTACACAATTTGTCAACAATTTTTTTTTTGTGATTGAATGTGACAAACAGAAATCCTATTAATAGAATTGTGGTAGTTTCAAAACTTCTTGCTAAATAAAACAAACGCGAATATTCCCACTTTATTGAAATGGCATTAGAGTAGTATGTGCTTTAAGGTAGAATATATCATATTTTATTTAAAGTTTCAAGTAGGTATCCTTAGGGCATAAATCTTGTATAAATTTAATTTAAGATTTAATTAGAAATTTGATTTAAAATTATAACAATTTTACGACGGTTACTATATGAATATCATCCCGTCCGAATTAAATACATTTTTATTGCGATAATTAGTCGCGTTAAAAACTGGCCTGCAGAAAAAATTGCTTTTTTCTGTTCCTAGTTGCACGAAGCACCTCTTAAGGTCAAACTTGAAATCTCCGACAATTCTTTGCATTCCTTAACCACCCTTTGACATTGTTCTTTGAACTGTGTGAGTGACTAAGAACAATTAACAATTTGTGTTGTTTGTTCTGAGCAACTTTGTATATTTTTTTAATATATAATTATTCAATCAGTAAAATATTTATATTAAACTGTGAAATATGGTTAAAACTTAAAAATCAACACCAAATAATAATTTCTAGAAATGATTTTCTGATATTTCGAGGTTTCTTGAGAAGACTTCTTTGAGAAGTCCTTCATTCATTTCTTTAGAAATGTGATTATAAACGTAAGTAAGTATAATACTAGAATAAAAATAATAACTTCAATAACCTTTTTCCGACGAGTATCATAAGTAAAGACTGTTTCATAACTTAAAATAAATAAATGCATTTATATTACGACACTTGTTTTTTTTATTAGGCAAATAATAAAAAATAGGACGTCAAAATTGACGTCGTGTAGTAGAAAATGTGTGATATTTACTACAATGAATACGGAAATTCCTTATCCGTGAACAAGCCACTAAGAATCTGTTATTAATTAAGACATATCTGATATTAATTCAATTAATGATTATTAATGATGGAACTGCGGTGACAATGCAATCATAGTTAAAATTAAATTAGTTTTTTATTTTACTTACACATCGGAAGACTTGAGTGAAATAACTTTGCATCTCTGTTTTGTAAGATATGGGTTATCTTTAATTATTAGAGAAATATTTAAAAGTACATTCGTTATAATTTTTTAAATCATGTAGTTTAGAATCTTTTACGACCTGTAATGAGTCTACTAAACAATATTCACTTCGCTTTAAAACCACTAATATATAAACAGTCACAGGGTGTGACTATGAATTTTCATTAGCTTAATAACAACTAAGACGACGAGCGAAAAGTAAGTAATAAAACCTTAGAGAAATGCTATTTTGCGTTTGCTTTCCACCCGTCTGTCACTGAGGTGTTGGAAGAAAATTAAATGGTTCTTTTAAAACAACAACCATTTCGTTCGTAATTACATTTCTTAAATCGTCTGTGAAAATTGTATTTAAATGTTAATAGGTCCCTGCATTTTAAAGCTGACAATCGACTTTTTATGAGGTCGCATCCAATTATATTATAAGTCTTTGCGGATGAGATCTCTGCATGTTTTCGTTATAGTCATGTAGAAGACCGGCTGTGCCTGGCAAATATGGTCGAACATAGGGTTCAAGACATTCCGGTTTCCTCAAATTATTTGTATACTACGAGTAAGTGTTAATTGCATACATGAATTATTTAAATTTAACTGTGAGCACAGCTGGAGCTCGAATGCTCGCTTTGAATAAAATATCTTTTACATAAATGAAGAAATTAATTTGAAAAATTTGTGTATTCAAGGTTCTATAACAATATGATTTTACCGAAAAATATAATTTTCTACTAATTTCTAAACTACATATTGAAGTTAATACCACTATATTCTTTTCAAGTTTTTTAAATATTATTATTTGGTTATTAAATTATTATTAATCCTAAAATAGAATTCCATATCATCTTAAAAAAGTAAGTTCTTATATTCCTGTTTTTCAAAATTTTGTCGTATTTTAATCGAATTTAAATTTTGGGGATAAATGTTTTCAAGAACGTTAGGATGTCAAACGACTCTGTTACTAATTTATTGTAAAAAAACGCTGTTTCAAATTAAGAGTAATATCATACCTCCATTTCATTTTGACTCAATGAAAGCTATACTAAGAAAAAATTATAAAATACCGTTAGTTGTACAAATATTTGGTGGTTTTTAGTCATTTGATTTGATAGACGCGAGTGAGTTAAACCGGATTCACGGAAATAGCTTCTTTAAGTTTTAATCGCTTCAAAAATTTATATTTATTTACCAATACGATATTCATTAAAATTGGAGCAATTGTTTAAAAAAACTATAACATATCTTGCGAATAGTTTTCAAACTTTTCAACCTTCTTTAGTAACCTTAACCTACCGTACAATGGTACCGTACCAAGAGAATACTCTTGCTTTATTCCGGGAAAATTATTTGTTACTTTTATCAAAAGTTGTACGTACCCGAAAGCCATTGTAACTGCTACGGTGGTTCTACGGCGACGATCGACGCTACAAGTGCGGCGTAGTCAGCTCTACGGGCTTTATATTTGGGCGGCACCGCCCAACGCGCCGCCCAATGCATAATAGCTTTTACGTACACAATAGTTACAAGTAAAATCCTCGCGATCAAAAAAGTCAACAAATTTTAAATGTCAAGTATTTAATACTAAAGGTAAAGACAAAATGAACAGTTAAAGCCTTAATGAGTGGGCCAGACTTTATACTCTATGAATTTTATGAAACATTTTATAATTAAAAATGTTAATAAAATTAACCCAGTTTTTAAGATTAAGATAATGCTGAATTCATTGCTTAGATTACTTAAGACAGAAGTGTCTAATTAAATTCGCATAATTCTAACATTCAACTTATAAAATATTGAGATATGAGAGTGTATATAATAAATAAATAAAAATACTACATAAACTATATATCTATGTATATTTTATATACAGCTTCATTGGAATTACAATGTAACATTAAAGTTTTATTTTAATTGATCAACTTTGTGAGTTCAGTAAAGAATGTGTCAATTACCAATAAAACATAAAATGTATATTTTAAGGTTTTAGTATAACTTGGAAACTTTATTCGGTTTACGACACTTATATAAAATACTATTCATGATATAGAACGAGATGTTAACTTATTTAGCTTTTAAAACGTATAATATAATAAAATTGAATGAGTATATAATTCATATAATATACAAAAAGTTATCGACAATGTTTATATGAAAGGAATTATTATTTAATACAATTTTTTTCTTCAGTTTAGCCTAAAATGAGGTAAAACATAAGCCTTAGAATTGCTTAAACAAAGCTCATATGACCATTATGCAGCTTAGTTTCATGAACCAAAACGATCTTTAAGGTCCATAAATAAATTTGCCTCCTTGGCTTTGTTTCCCAGGCTGGAATTAACATTCCACAGATGTTACTATGACCCTTTACTTAGTAAACTAAAATTTTAACAAATTTACTTCTTTAGTAATAACCAACGTTAACGCTGAAGCTACGCTAAGCAATCCAAATGTGATAGAGATAATTGTATCAAATTTTTTAAACCGAAATACTTAATGAAGCTTTGTACAAGTACACAATCATGGATTGAATTTAACGTTCAGAACAACTGAGTGATCTTATATTGTATATAATTCATTTATATTAAAGCTAAAGTTCGGTTTCAACGTTATTTAAACGTTATTCAAAATAAAAGCCGTGTTTGTCATATAAAATGTGATTTACGTCTTTCCTACACGTGTTTAGATGTTTTTACAATTCACATAATTAATGTACAGTGGAATCTCGATAACTTGAACCTCGTTAAGTCGAAAACTGCCATTCCCTTTCGCTGTACCCCTAAATACGCGGTATGTCGAATTATTTAGACTGTAACTCGAGCAAAATGTTATTTCCCTACAAAGTTCCCATATTTATACTCTATAACTCGAATCTCAAAACGGAGACTGTAAGTCGTAATTAGTAAAATATAATGACGTCCTACTTGGAATTCTCCGAAATAATGGCAATAAAATCTAAAATGAATGTTCGGGTTCGGGGCTTCTAATCTATTGTTTTTGTCTTGCACACATGTAATGAATGAATACGTTCATATTTTTTTTTAGTTATCAGTTTACTTAATTAATATGTAGTAATATGTAAAAATATTATTAACTTAAGTTGAATTCTTATTCAAATTCGACTCCACAAATCGAAACATACACATAGATATCGTGCTTCTGTAAGTCGAAAACTCGTTAATCATTCCTTTTTTTTTCCTTTCCTTTTTTTTTTTTTTTTTTTGTTTGTTTGTGTAACAGGTGACAATAGCTATAACCGTTATATTATAATAATTTCTAAAGGTTATTCTTTCCTTTTGTAACCAAAGAGATATAAACGCAGCGAGTGCCAATAAAGCGCTCATTTTACCCATTTTGATGAAATTTAGGAGCGTCTATTAACAAAATATCAAGTGATATATACACTGGGCTATGAAACCAATATATTTTTTTAAATAAATAAATCGCCAATCTAATAAAATTATAATTTTTACACATTACAAATTTACTTGAAATTCTAAGGCACCTTTACCATATACCTATAATTTTAGTATAGTAGGTTCAGAGAAGTACTAGAAGTACTTGTGCCTGCTGTAAACAGTTTCGACCTTCCTTATCGCCATATGGTGTTGATAGAGCATTAGCTAAGCGAATATGTCTCCAAGGGATATAATATATATTATTGTTATCACAAACTTGCATCGTGTGTTGTGAAACAAAAGTTTTTGATGGATTAAAATGAGTGACAGACACAATGGGTTATAAACTATTTGGCTATTAGTAAGAACAGAGGCCAGGGAAGACTAATGGGCTTAGGGCTCCCACACAAAACTGCGATGCGATGCGATGCGAATTACTGCGATACGATTTAGTGCGACAAACCGTTTGGTAGGGCGACCATTCCTTCATAGTCAGCCGTACTGGACGTGTTTTAAGGAAGCGTAAGATGAATCGCAAAAAGAATATTGCACTGCTGTTATTGTTAAATAGATATAAAAGAAAAAGAAGATTCTGGGTTTATCCACTTATTACGATTATGAACTCTGATGGGAACTATTTTACTCAAAAGTACTATGCGTTGAGAACTGAAGAAGATACATTTTTTGATTATTTTAGAATGAGCATATCTTCATTTGAAGAGCTTTTGAGTTTATTGTCACCATGCCTTCAAAAACGATCGTACAAGGAGAGAATTTATTATAATTTATTTTTTATAATGTTCGTCACTTGTGTCCCAAAGGACGAGACGCTTGTCAATTAAAGATATTAAAAAATCTATATCATATTCCGCCATTTTTTTTAAAAACAAAGAAGGCGCGCGTCTTTCTATAAGATGTCTCAGAGCGGACTAAAATGGCGTCACCAAGGATGACGTAATATCGCAGAAATGTGCGATGCGAAGCAGATCGGAAATTCTTGCGGTGCGTTTGTGTGAATTCGCAGATATTTGCGATGCGATGCGAATTCGCGGTTTGTGTGGGAGCGCTTATAGTGACGCTGGATAATTATAAACGTTAAAGTATCAATTTAAAATTGTTTTTGAAATTATCTCAATATATCCGTGAATATATTGTATTATAGATATCACTTTTCGCTGTTTATTGGCTGGAAATGTCTATATTAATAGAAACAGATTATTGATTTTGGGCTTCATTTTAAATAAAATAATTAAATGTGTGATCATTTATCCATATTATAATTTTGTTTCTAATTTGATGGTATTTTCGTAAAACCCCTATAAGTTGCAAAAGTTAATAATCTGTAAAGTCAATACAACTCCACTCTAAACGTAGTGAAGGCTTTGCTTCCAATGAACTGTTGATTAAAACAAATGGCCAGTAGTCCGTAATGTTAGGATCATCTTACACTTGCTGATATTTAAGAAAATCACGTCTAATTGAACAATTTGTTCACGTTTTCTAGAAGTTATTTAATGTGATATTATTATACTTATATGATATGCGATAAATGTTTGAAATTGTGTAATGCCCATCAGAATGTATTTTTTTTATTAAAGAACATACAATCAATTTTAACGTGTTAATATATTGCCTTTCACATAGAACAATGTATCGAAGTAGCTAGGCGCATTTTGCAACCCTGAGGAAGTGTTTATATATGTGTGTGTGAATATGCTATACTGTACTTCTTTCTATGTATGCAATTAATCAAGCAAAACATCGCGAAAAACCGGCATGTCTTAAGCCTATAAATCGATGACGTTAGACCAACACTGCAGACTGATTACAAATTTTCAATTATTAAAAAATTTCAGTTCTGTATTAGTATTGTGATATGATTTCAATATTTACAGTATGCCCTACGCCTCAGTCAGAGTCAGAATACTGCTTTGCTAGCATTTCAGTGCACAACTTTCCTAACGATGTTTTGTGACGCACGCTAACCCCGCGAAAATGTAAGAAAACGAATTTTATATTCTCAGTTCAACTCAGTAAAGGTTAATTTCACCTCCATGTAACACGTGGTGGTAGTTTTATTAAATCTTTAATGCTATTTAAAGAGAAAATCTTGTTTAGCTAATTGACAAGTCAGTTTTTTTTTGTACGCATGTTAAAGAAATGAAATTTACAATTTCTTTAATTGAATTTGTTTTAAGTTATAATAATTTGATTTTTTCTTTAAATAGGTACCAATACTTATAATGTCCCAATATGTTACAATTTTTAAATTGAGCTTGACGTCATCAGTTTCAAAATTTTCTACATCTTTGAATTTTTAGGCCAATTTATCCTTCACCTATATGTATACGATATGTATACAATTATTCAAATAATAGCTAACTCGCGCAACTATTCGTTGGGGGTATTATGTTTATACATCTGTTTTTTTGGTACGTTTTTCTTTTTAGGCAACTAACTCTGTGCCTGTCAAACGTCATTTGACATGTCGTTTCATCACGTTTCCATTTCTGTACGAGCAAGTAGTGGTTCCGACATGTAAAGGAAAATTGGGCGACAGGGTACGCACGCACGACTTCTGGTTTATGAATCTCACCCTTTGCTCTTTAATGTTATTCAAATACTCATTTATAATAATTCAAACTAAACTAAAACTCGCAATCTTAATAGCTTCTTAAATTCGTTTGAGTTTTTAAAAGTAATTAGTGTTTGTTTATTCGCAAAAGGGGTGGTGATGAATGGCTCGGCTCGTCTTGCTTATGCATACTAATTCATAGAGTTATGATTCTGCGGTTGGGCTTGGTGAAAACTTGTTGATATTTGAATAAACTTCAATACAAAACATGGTGTAATAAAGGTGCACGGGTTTCTAATGCTATTTCAGGACAGGTCCCTAATTTTCTATAATTAATAATTATTGACTAACGTTATTTTTGCCATCCCCTAGGTATGTCCAAAAGGTTTCGCTATCGCGTGAGATAGGTACTTTCAATGGAATTGGTTCTTGATAACGAATTATTGAAAAGAGACATAAAATTTGAATTTTGAAGTAGTTCAGCCACTATTAATTAGTGTCGGCAGGATTGTATGCGGCGGCCTCCACTCACCTTTTGTAAATTACTTACCATGTGATTCATTGGCGACCATGTTGATGTTAGTAACATAAAAAACTCAAGTTAAACGTTTTAGGCAATTATCTGTTCAAAAAGAAAAACGAAACATTAAAAAAGGAACAGGAAAACGTAGGTGGGCAGTAAATTGTAACATTATTTTTAATCTAAATGAAACGTTTGCAAGCTTTTAATGATAATGTCATATCATTATTACAATGATAAATTGAAGTGGTTTAATTGTTTTATCTGTAGGTACGTGACATGATAAACTATAATTGTATTTAAGTGCGTATGCAACTTTTTACAATCGCAAGATTATGTTAACACCATCACACCAAAGCGACAACCCGATTTTAATAATATGGACATACAGCAATATTATATTTTCTGTTTTTTTATAAAAAAATAGTCAAAATTCTATACTAAATTAAATTCTATTTTTACGTACTATAGATGCGTAGGTAACATTCATAGAAACACCAATTGCAATACAAAAATGCAATAAGTGCATACCATTGAGTGATGTCAATAAATATTATATTTCTAATATTACAGTACGATACATTTTATTGAAAATTCTTCACTGAATATTGTATAATGAAATGGCGGAAAGGTCACGAAGCATTCCTAAACAGAATATATATATAAACATTCCTATACACTAACCATTATTTTTAGACCTTAAATTAAATAACCGTTTTTAATGTTTACTGGGCCATGCAAAAATGTTTATTAAGAAGTTGTGCCGTCATCTTTCAGATCTTATTAGTGTTCCTATTTAATAAGGCGTTATGATATATTCTGTTTAATTTTGTGGATGTAAAGCTTAGGTTTCCTAGAAAAGCGGTGCCGTTATCCAACGGCCGTAATGTAACGTTGGGTGATGTCACCCATACGTTGTCTATAAATAACATCAGAGTAGGTTTTCTAGAGAACGTTGAGTGTCATCGTAACGTCAAATAGCGGTGCTGTCATTTGCATGACGGCCGTCATAGCGGTGATAAACATTAGTTCAACGCGTGTAGAGATGCCCATATTTAATTAATACAATGAGTGGAAACGTGACTTGGACGAGCGAAAATGATTGTTTTTTTAAATTATGTTAAAAAGTAAAGACGGCCGTTATTAACAACTGTAAAATGACGGCCGTTAGTTAACGGCACCGCTTTTCTAGGAAACCTAAGCTTAACAACCGTAAAATGACGGCCGTTAGTTAACGGCACCGCTTTTCTAGGAAACCTAAGCTTAAGAAGATGAGCTTTTTTTTAGTATACATCGTATTTATATGTGTGTAGCGACACCTACAATCTACTGCTACAATCACTGAGATGTCGTCATATCCCGAAACGGACTAACGAAATCATTCCAACCGCCAAGGATATATATAGATAACTATGACCTTTGCAACTGGGGCTTTAGTTTGGAAGTGAACCCTTCCTCCACATGCGTGTATTTTACACTTTTGTTTTGTGTGACAATACAATTTATTTTATACCTTTACGTTTTTGGTAAAGAATTTTTTTTAATTAATGTAAATTTGTCCACTACTACTAGAATAATTTCAGTCACACATCTTGAATAAATTATTGAACTTGCGTGAGTATATGTATTATTCTTTCGCTGTAAGAATATTAGTACTACGTACGATTTAAAATCAGCAAATTTCATTAAGTTAACTTGATTTTGCCGTGGTATATAAAGAATAAAGTGTCGTTCGACTTATTTTTCCACAATGTTAAATAATTCTATCTTCTACACAGAATACGGGCGCCAGTAATCATATTTCCATACGTTTTCCTAACGGTTGCATTAATCGTTCATTCTCATACATATATATTTAAATCTTAACAGGTGTTAGATATTCATAGATTTTGTCGCTCATATAAAATACTATGAATATAAAGATAAAGCTTTAAAAAAATAATATGGCGTCGCTCACGTCTTTATCACAAAACGTCAAAATGGACAAGCGAACCGAATTATGGTAACAAGTCTCTCGTCTGACTTTTAGATGATGTTGTGGTAGATAAGTTCTTAATTATTTAATTTTTCTCCGATTTTCGAACAACGATTAGTATTAGGTAACTCAACTTTTATATTTTGGTGTTTAATGGGAGCCCGTAATCAATTAGTCATGGGACAGACCCATTTCTACATATTTTGCTGTTTTGGTTTTTTAGCGGTTATCTCAATTAATTTATTACCTAAATCCGGCGATTCTTAATGTATATTTTAATCCGAAACGATCATAGGAAAATAATAATAACCTAAAATAAAATACACCTTCCATTAACTGATTTATGTAACCAATAAATATATTTATCTAACTTGCACTACTGTCCTAAAAACTGCCAGTTGTAAATTAATTTACGATGGTTAATCATTTAATTTTTAAGTAACTAAAGATTAAACCTTAGTATTCAGGCTGTACACCAATGGATACTTTATCAAAAGCATAATTAATACTTACTTGTTTATACAAAAAATTATCACAAACAGATAAGAATATGACACCAAGGGTTGCAGTGCCACTGGGTTTTTAAGTACTTATGTGCATTTTTAGGTCGAACTATAAAGACGGACATTATCAATTGGAATGAAAAGAAATGATATATTACTATCAAAAGTGTAATTAAAGCCACCAACAGATTATGTAATATAATAACACTTCCATTTCTATCAATCCAATCCCTATACGCAGAAACTCGTGTATAAATAGATGTTTTATCAAAATTCTTGCCACTTACAACTCCCACCAACAATTCTCTCTGGTTCTCCTCTTGGGGATCCAAAGTTCCTCTACATGCCAAGGGCCCACCAGAATCGCCCCTAGAAATATCTGTGACGGACGAATCTGTACATACAAAAGAGTTCATATTCATCTCCCACATTTTAGTACAGTGCCATCTAGTGAGAACGTAGATTTGTGCAACAAGAAGTGACGGAGATATCATATCACTCAACTGGGGGCCAATCCTACCAAACCCAGCTGATCTACACGTTTGGGGGTAATCTTTATTGACACTAGCCGGTACAATATAGTCCACGTTACGTAAAAAACTCCATTTGACATCAGCAAACACCAGAGCGATATCATTGTCGGGAAAGTTGAAGTGCCTATGCAGAATAACTCTGTCAATATTCCTCCATTGGCTTATTATGGTAGTCTCTGTACGTCCGGAATGCGTCAAATCAGTGCGTAAATTACCTGCGACGAGTCGTAATAATTCCGGGTGTCTATAATAATAGAATTGATTTCCTTCAAAGCAATGTGCGGCTGTCAAAACTCGAAGTTCATCTATAATGCTGCCTCCACAGAGATTCCTCCAAATAATTCTACCATGACCTAGTCTCCTTGTTGGCTCTTTGATCGACACTAGATAAGGTACCTCACCGACCACAGCAGGCTTTCCATTCACAACGAATGGTTTTACGTAAGATTTTGAATACCGTAAAGTAGTTATTATACGGCGATCTACTTCGCATTTTGTGTGTGCTAATGTGATAATAAAGAATACTATTGTGAGCATTCCAATTCTTACACTAAAATTTATTTATAATCAGGGACTTTCACATTTCGTTTTTATTCCACTAATATTTTGAGTCGTGTCATTTTTGATAGATTCATAGTGTACCTCTCAGATCAGAAGGTTTGTAAACCCAAAGGGTCCATAGTGTCAACAATAAATTACTCTGTGGTGTGTGAACTGTCAAGATGTGGTGGGACTGAGTTCACGCATTGACGTATAACCCAGAGGTCGTGGATGCGATTCCCGACGAAACAATTGTTTCTGGTAAGTATAGAGAATAGGCTAGCGAGACAAGCCTTAAATTACAATGAAGAGACGGCGAAATGCGTCTGCACTGTTTGGAATTTAAACAACAATAATTTGTAACTAATATAAAAATCCGTGTTGATTTTTAAAATAAACGAAATATCTGGTAACTTTATCCTATAATGATTAGGTTACTATATTATTTATTTGAGGAAGGGTTTTTAAAACAAACAATTAAAATATTAATAGTCTGTAATATTATCATCATATAAAATAACAATGTTGAATACACAAAATCCACGTGAGTATAAAAATTTATACTTAGGCATATTATACTTTATTGTTCGTTAATTCCATGATTTGAGGTTATGTCACAATTTAAATTCTAAATTTATAAATGCTATATATATAAGCTAATCTCAACAGCCTAGTTTATTGCTTAGCAATCCGTAAAGTACCTATTGAGAATGGCTTTACTAAATATCTTATAATCTTAACAATTCCTAAAGATTTCGAAGTTTTAACAGCGATATGAAAGGGAATGTTTATTTGTCTTGCAATTGCACGTAATTAGCTGGGAAGAGACCGTACTGGCCTTTACACAGGCCCTGCCACCAGCCTTCATCGATCTGAAAATAAATTTAGTTTGTAGTAACTTCTACTATTAACGTTAAGTAACTTGCATAAACAGCTGTGATATAAAAAATACACAGAATTACCTCTTACAATATTTTTTTAAATCGATTAAAATAAATAGTCGAACCAATAAACTTAAAAACGCCGGAAAAAACTTGAAGAGGTAAAACTCGTATTGAATAAACAACGTTTTAAAAATAATAAATATTAATCATTTATTTATAAACATTCAATAGTTACGTATAGACCTCAAATACCCAATAATTGCTTTGCCCTTATGCAATAAAATAAATATATCAAAATCATTTTAACTTAAATTATAATTATTTGTATAAAATTTTAATAGGTATAAAACTTAACAAAATCTAGAACAATTTCCATACCATAACAATATTAGTAATAATATCGTCCGGGTCAAAAGATATCTCATCAGGGGCTGCGGCTTGGTAGTCGTACAACGCTCGCGCTATATATCCGTCGTCATCATCTCCCTCTCCCTCTGCTATCTCGTTCTCCCACCCAACGGGAGATACCACTATGGTTGGCTGTCGCGACATCTAAATAATAAAATCCTCTATATTTATTCTTGACGTATTTCATACACCTCAGTTAGATTATCGACTATTATATGAGTTGGATATAGAAACTCTTTCCTAATAAAAAATATCGATGGTACCGACCCATAAGAACCTCTGGACTTTACAAACATCTATCTAAAAGCAGCATATATACTATAAATATTTGAACTAATTTTAAACATTTTATAATTAAATCTTTTACTAAAGGTGTAATAAATAAAACATATAGAGATAATTAGTTAAATGCAAGTTATTTCATATATATAATTTGTTTAATAATGAGATATGGGTTTTCAATAGCTAAATAGTAATAGAAATAGATAGATCATACATTCGTTAATAAAAAGAACACTTGCTAACCTCATCTTTTTCTTGTACCTCCTTAGTATCTCCGGTGAGCGTAACATCCGGTAGGTTACTGCTAGTTTGCTTCACTTCCGGTGTTTCTTCAACTTTTGTCGGTTCTTTATCAACCTGTACCACTATTTCAACCTGTAACATAAATATATATAAGGCCTGTATATTAAAATCATTTTACGGTTAATAGTCCGGCTCGAAGGATTCGTAAGTAAAATCCATGATATATTTTCCGTAACTCGATAACAAGTATTTTATGAAAAAAATATATATTTCAAGCATTTCATTTACCTTTGGTTGTTTTTCTGTTACTTCTATTTTCTCTGGTTCTGCTTTTTTCACTGGTTTCTCTACTTCCTGCTTCTCTGGACTTTTCTCTTTCTCTTTTTCCAATCGAACTTTTTCCTAAAATATTGATTATTAATACTTGGAAAAATTTGATCTCATTTTGTTAAACTAAAAGTATACTGGAATTAATAAAAAAATGTTTTGGAAAAAATTACAAAAACTAATGGAATCATTTATTAGTCATTGTTACCCGTTAATAAAAAAAATGCATTTAATGAAATAAATAAGTTCCTGTTCCAACTTAGATCTATTGACATAATATGTAAGCTATAAGATTATTGTATAATAGAAATAATGTTAAGCCCAGCTAAGTTTCTTGGCTTATCTTCAATCAGGGAGGTGAGGTATACCGTGTCCTGCCCCGGGCGATTGCTGGTGGCGCCGTGGGATTTGAGTGGATATGCACACCAGCGAGTCCCACATAACCCTTCCCCACCAGGTCAACCGTGCCGCGGGAGAGTATGCGTAACGCATTTCCCCACGAAAAAAAAAGAAAAAAAGGGAGGTGAGGTATAAAACGATATACGAAGCGATTGTGATTGGTCAAAAACATCTCTAGCGTAGAAACAATATGCGTTGACAGGCGACATGACGTCACGTCATTTGACAATTCTCCTATCAATGTAACGTTTCTTTTCACGTCTTTAGTTTTTAATTCTCACTCACCTGGGCGCGTCCAAGCCTAGTGTGTAAGTGACAGTCATGATTTTACATAAAATATTACACTTTAACACAGTTTTTGTGTTATTTATACTTAAACTTTAGATATATAGAATTACAAAACTTTATGTAGATAAAGCGTATGTTATTTTGCTTTAAAGATATTTACCTTATCCGACAAACTCTTGTCAATTTGTTGCCTCTCTTGTCTTATCCTTTGAACAGACTTTAAGGCCTCCTGAAAAACCGTCAGATATATGAGTTTCAAATGTCTTGAACCATGTTAGACATGACATGACATTTGGTAATACGTCAATTAAATTGTACTTAAATGAAATTCAGTTTTGGACATTCTTTAGTGCTATATTCAACGTATTTAAGCAGTAAATTACGGGAAGCAACAATTATCTCACCATGGCGTAATCTAGCATTTGGACAATACTAGACTAAACATTAAAGAATCTAAATTAAAACTATACAATGGAAATACATTTATTTAAAACTAATTAAGTTAAAAATCACAATGTGATTTGGACTAACTATAAATTTTATATAGTAACTAAACGATTCCTCTTTGTTTATCGTATATGAAATGTCCATAAAAAGAGAAGATATTTTTATTTATTATTTTTTCTTTAGATTTTACTTTATTTCATTATAGTTATAGTAACTTGTTATTTTGAGTTTTTTTTGTTAATTATTTTTGCATTTCTTGTACTCTACCCTCTGTAGGTGTTTCTTTTTCATTTTTCCACATTAGGGTTGCCTGGATGAAATCGCTTGTTAGCGATAAGGCCGCCCGTTGCCTAATAACTTTTGTAACCTGGTTTTTTATTTTTGTTATGTGTATGTTTTTGAATAAGGTAATAAAGTATAAATAATAAGATATAATAATTAGTCTTTTATACCTGTTCCTTTTCTTTGGCCATATTCTCAAATTTGTCTCTTATAGATGACGGTTTGGCACTTCCTATATTCGGCTTCTGTTTCGTATAATTAGTTCCAACCTTTTGCACTTCTTCAAACGTATGCGCACATTTATCGACTCTGTCCGTCTGTATACCGAATTTACCACCGAAACCCTGTGACAATAACCATAATTAGTCAAATCATAAGTAACTTTAATGCGATTTCATGCGGTCCGTGCAAATACAAAGATGAAAATGACAAAAGATGTATAGATCTCCGAGGTACAGCTTAAAACAAGAATTGTGCGTTTGTAGTAATTATTTAATAATTATTTACTCTTACTATACAACTAGTATCACTATAACTCCGTAAGTAGGGGATTATCAATTCTACTGTTGAGTGTTTGAAAACTTTTCTGCTTTATATTGCTTATGTATTAATCAAGGAGTTAGTAAGTGAGGAAACCGGTAAATCTTATACCAAAAAACGTGACACAGAAAACTTTTTGTCTATATATTTGTGTGTATCATCAATAAAACATTAAAAGATTATTGAACCCACCTTCCCCATGTAACACGCCGTTATGTTTTTATGTACCCAAGTATAGTAAAACGTTGCGTGACCACATAGGGAATCTTTATACCTAAAAGTTACCATTATGTGGTGTAAAGTACTGGAAAGTCGAAAATAATATTAACAATAACGCGTAATTCAATCCCCGCCCCGCATCATAACGTTTTACAAAAGGACCCCAAAAATTCGTTACGTAATACTTGAACGCACCCTCACCGTCCGAGCGAGTGTTACAATGTGCACGTAGAAAGTCCATTGGTGCACAGGTGGTTTTCAAACAAACGACCTCAGAGCCGCACGCTGAAGCGACTAGGCCGAGACTGCTGTATATCATTTATATATACCTTTTTGTGATCGACTTGGCTCGCGTGCTTCTGTGTCTGCTCTTGATATTCCCAGCCCACAGCCGACGCGTCTTGTCTGTCTGTCTGCACGCCAAATTTACCACCAAAGCCAATTGCGTAGTCTGAAAATATATACAATTAATAAAGGAATGCAGTGTTAACATCATCTCATTCTTTATTATAAACAAAGCCAATCACTACACTTTGAAATTCCTTTTTTTTCACTTTGGTGTACATTTTTAAGTCTTAATTAATCGATTAAAACATAGCAAATACTATTTTTAATCACCCTTTTGCGAGTTATGGGACTCAACAGTTTCATGATGCTCCCATCCAGCGGCGCACTTGTCCTGTCTGTCTGTCTGCACTCCAAATTTGCCCCCAAAACCCACCGCATAGTCCTTTTGGGATGAGTGCTTCTCTACTTGCTCTTTGTGGTCCCACCCAGCTGCGCTCTGGAAATTGTTCCAATATAAAATTCCTTTTTATTGTCTTTGGTTAATGAGGACGACATATTTAAATAGAACCTTAAGACAGATGTGGCCGCTTTACAAAAATTTAGGATATATATTACTTTTTCTTACAGATTAAAATTATCTACTTACAAGCAAATTTACTTTCATAAACGCATTTTTGAGGCCTCTAAAAAGCTTTAAATACATTGAAAAATAGTTTTCATTTATTCTTCTTCATTTGAAGAGAAAATAAACGATGTTGCATCCCGATGATTGTCGAAAGCTATTAATTTTAATGATTATTATTTTATTATTATTATAATTATTGAAGTTACGAACTACATCTATACACACATTTATTGATATCAACTTACCTTATCAACTCTGTCAGTGTCCACTCCAAACTTTCCACCAAATCCTATAATATATTAAGCTTATTATTTGTATAGTATAAAACTATCACATAATTTATCAAAATAAAATTAGCTAATTACACAATTTAACTAAGTACTATTTCTGTAAACTGTGTTTACTTATAAAAAGTTGACTAACATTAGATTTTCATTCATAAAATGGTATCTAAATAAAACATCCAAAATCATGTTATATTTCTTGTTTGTCTTTTTTATCAAATAATACTGTTTATCAGAAAGACTCAAGATAATTTTTTGCCCAAATCTGTCTACAGAGTCATCTATCACCTAGCATACTGTTGTTGTTGATTTGTTGCTTTTCTTATTACCTTGAGCATAATCCTTCTGCGAAACATGTTTCTCAGTTTTACCAATATAATCATGTCCCATTGCAGACTTATCCATTCTGTCCGTCTGTACGCCAAATTTACCTCCATAACTAAAAATAAATGTATCTTTAAATCATGGGATAAAGACAGTAAACAGAAAACCAATTGCAATAAACACTTGCTTTTACAGTGAAGTAAAACATAATGTGAGAATTGGCTTATCTGAGATAAAAAATTGGTATGTATCACAGATGGCTTATCTCCTACGACAATACAAGTAGTATTCTTTTCAATCAGTAACGAATAACCACATTTAATCTAATTGTTGGATAATTTAATATTTAACCGAAAATGTATAAATTTCAACCCAGAGCCTATATAGTTAAGTTCTTCATAAAAAGATTTCCATCCAATAAACATTAATATTGTATGATGTGCATTATGTACCCATAAGAAGACTTAGGTCCATGTTCATATGCCTTCTGTTTGGCCTCCTTGTCTGCCTCTAGTACTTCCTCACGTAATTTTGCCATACTAAAACAAATAAGAATTAAAACTGTTAAAGATATATAGATAAGATAAATCCCCTAATTAATAACTAAATGAGTCAAATTGAACTAAAGTAAACTTTGAACTCTTCAAATCATGCTTTTTATGAAGAAACATAGATTTTGATGTCGAAGGAAATATGTTTTTAACGGCAATTAATAATTAATTATGTATATTCTCTTTATTTACTTTACTAGAATAATTATGCTACAAAGCTTTGCTTGTAATGGAGTTTCAAATATATATTTCTACCACAGATATGTGTGTGCATACATTATTATTATTATTTTACTGTAAGAACAATATGTCATAATAATAACAATGATTCATATTCAGATTGATAAAACATCCCTTTATATAAACAAGGTTCAACAGAGGTCACAATGACATATTGTGAAAAAGTATTAGAAAACTTAATTTTTGCTAATTTATAATATGATAGCATTTCAAATTGAAAATATTTTTATTCTGTCCTAATTTTAGTAGTAACTACAACTTATTTGTTAAAGTAAATGTAAGAAACAAAAAAAAGGAAAAATCTATCATATATTATAACCAATAATGAGATCATAGAGAAATATAAACATTATTGTACAACTTTTAATTCATAATATACAAACTTTAATGAGATTCTGTATATGAATATGATGATAATAATATAAGGCAATAAGTATTAACATACTCAATGGCTTCTACATGTCTGCCTCCAGGTCCCCATCGTTGTTCCTGTTCAGTAACATCATTTACAAAGTCAGGGTCTGTCTCCCAGTCATCAGCTTCTGCTGGGGGAGGAGCAACTACATCAGTTGCTGCTTTCCACATCTGTTTAGAAATACAAATACTTAGATTATAAGATCTTGTGTAGACTAAAATATATTTTTTAACATATGCTTATAGTATCACTTTCATAAGTGGTAGTCAACCATTCAGAGTTAATAAGATTCATTAGCTACCAGCAATTCTCAACTTGAAACTTCCTATTGGCTGAGTTTCTCACAATTAAAATAAAGTGAGAGTTTCTCCCTAGTCTATAATGATGAACATCATCAATGATGTTCCTTGTTGATAAAAATAATCTTTGCTATCTTATAACTTTTTTGATAGGCATAGCTATCATGTTACTGTCTAAGCATGCTTAAATTATTGTACTGGGATTTTTAATTCACGGAGTTATTAATTCTACTCTATAATATTTTGTCAAAACTGAAATAGTTGTTTATGGGTTTAATTTACCTTATTGCCGGTCACAGGAGTTGTTTCTGCTAAATGGCACCAAACGTTTCAATACTAAACATAAAAAAGTTTGATTTCACGTTTTTTATATTGTTTTTTCGCGTCAGATGTTATAAATTCACATTGTTTAATGTAAATTTAAGAATACTTTCATTTTTCAACTATGATTCAATTTCTCTCAAACCCCGATTCTCAATGATTCACAAATTATTGTTGTATTTGAATTTTGGGTCTGTAATTTGTTGACAAATCTCCATTAATATGACGTCGTCAATAATGCTGTCAACTGTCAAGTTTGTCATTTGACATTGCTTTGTTAACTATCAAAAATTCGAAATGGATCTATTTATCCTATAAATAAATAAAATAATGTACAATATTATGCTATTTATCAAGTTTACGACGACGGTTTATATAAAAAAGTGAATCACTTAAAGAACTGAAAATTAGTGCCCGAAAATAACACTTGGCTTACCATAAAATAAAATAAAGTTTATCAATAACTAAAATAATTGCGTTTTTTTTGACGCGGCGTCACTCCATGGCGGCGTCTAGAAGCTTATTCTATTTCAACGACTTAACGTTTTTGATAATAAATCAGGGTTTCTTTGTTTTATGTGGATACACCGTTGCGAAATAAAAGAACACATTCAGCCTTATATTTCTTTTATCCACTTATACAATTAAAAAAACAACGCCATTACATATTTACATTCAACATAAAATAAATAACTTATAGAAATAGGTAGATATTTACCGGAGCATAAACCGAATGTAGAAAATACAAGATTTAATATTGAAAGTTTTGTTATTTTATAATAATAAATTTATCTAGCTATTAAAAAAGTCATACCAAAATATTCCAGCATTATAAAAAAAAACTTAAGTTACGTAAAGGAAAAAACATCATTAATGTATTAAGTTCTTGACGTATATTATTAAAATATGCATAAAATCCTCTGTAGGTACAATCGATAATTTTCTATGATATAAAAATTCACAGTCTTTAATTCGTGCAAGTTCACGACTTTCAAGTAGGTACCGTTTAATCATAGTACTAACCAGGCATTAGATTTAAGTTCTATGCTTCCCGATTATAGGTACATAATTGAAAACTAATAAATACTTTACTATACCATAATAGAGGCCTAAATGAAATATATCGTAAATATAAATTAATTAAAAAATGTAAATAATTACATTATATTATGCGACTTCGGCCTTTCTTTTTTTTTAGGTTTTTGAATGAAAGTCAAAAATAATTTATTTACACCTGCGAATACATGTATATTGAAGTATAAACGATTTTTTTTTTAAATAAAAGGTCACAATTTTAGTCTATAATCTTTTTTAGACAATACCATACGATGACTATATTCGTAGAAGTACACTCTTTTGATGAGATTTTATTTGACATCACAATAGGTATATTATTAAAAAGGTCCTTTTATCTAATGAACATGATTAAAATATATTTTTATACATCGGTCAAATTATAGTCTAATCGCTACATTTTGTACTAGAATTATATCTAAAATAATTCAAATGCTCAATTTGCCTCTGGATCAGGGGCGTCAATGGCATACCCGCATTTTTGTAATGCAAGTTTTATTTCTGGGAATACGGTGGCATCTTCTATAGTTGCGGGAAGTTTTATTTGTTGGGACCGGGCTAATTTGGCTACAGCGCCCCTGAGAGCCTTGCCTGATCGAGTTCGAGGTAACGCAGGTACGGCGATGGCCTTTCTAAAAGCGGCTATTGGACCGATTAGATGACGAACTAATGCTATCAGCTCTTGCGTTACTGTTTCCTCGGAGACAATTTCTTCGTCTGTAAATTGCGTAACAATATTTTTTAATTTATACTTATTTAAACCTAGACACAAAAACATGTAATAAATTATAAAATAGTTATAAATATTGTAATTTCAGTATGGCCTATGGTTATATATATATATATATTATTATACTTTGTGTTTTAAAATTTTTCTTCTAAATTACATATATGAAAGCTATTCTGCGTTTCTCTAATAATACTAACACAATTAAGTTGAAGTTAAATTTAATTTATTTTTTCATTCCGAAAGTTCGAAGTAATTTCAGATGCCTGCTAAATCGGAAAAATAATTTTAAAAGATAATAAAACATCCATGGATCGTTTCAATTTTGAGTTTGCTTACCATCTTGCGGAGGTCTCATAACATACAAGCATAGAGGGACATCGCCTTTAGTCAAGTCTGGAGCTCCCACTACCATAGCATCAGCTACTCTCGCGTGTTTTAATACGACATCTTCTATAGCCGCCGTTGATAATCTGTGGCCAGCCACATTGATGACGTCATCGGCTCTTGCTACAACCCAAACCGCGCCTTCTGGGCTGATCCAGCCCACGTCTTGTGTGTCATAGAAGCCCTAGAAATATTAACACAAATACAATGATCTTATATTAAGACCAAAAAACAAAAGAAGCTTACTACTTATTGTATCGTTTGATTGTAATTGGTCTCCGTTGACCAATCACGGTCAACGTTCTGCCTTTTTTAATGGAATGGAAAAGGTTGATATACGAACTATAAAATTATTAGATTAGCGTTAGAAGCTGAAAGAACAATGATAATATTTGAAATCATGGTAATTTCAATAAAACAAGCACACTGCTTACTGGATATTTGTCAAAGTAGACTTTCTTAAATCTGTCGTCGGCGTTCCATAGAGTAGAAGAGAAGCCAGGAGGTAGAGGTAACTTGGCGACGAGACGGCCCACTTCACCAGACTGACATTCGGTACCCTCTTCTCTTAAAACTCTTACTGTAGAACAAATAATAATATTAATAAACATATTAAGCCTCGTTCGATTGTTTTGTCTTTTGTTTTATATTGTTAATTTGTTGAAGTATTATTAGGAATATGAGATGTGATAATCAATAGTAGTTTAGTTCAAAACTCAAAATAATATAATTCTAATTAGTACCTAATCAATTCAAGTGGAAAAACTTGCTAGTTATAGTAGGGGAGCCCACGATGCTAAATGGGGATTTACTCGAGCGTCATAGAGACCTATTGGGTTGCGAAGCTTAGATAATTATAAGAATAAAATGTTATATAAGGCATTGATATACAAAAAACCCAAGATGCACAGTCTCGAATAAAAATAACGCTCGAAAGTGTCCCGAAACACTATTTCTGTCCATAACAGTATATGTTACAAGCATATATTATTGCAAAATCAACCTTACGCGAATTGCTTAAAGTTGTTATTACAACGCAGTGTATACGTACTTAAAGCAATAAAATTTTACGACCGACCGTGGTCGGTAGGACAAGGTATTGAGTGGAGTCGAACATGACTTTTTTATTTACAACTATTTAACATAATTTTAAATTCATCCGACTTTTCGGGTGCTTTACAGCGTGAGTGGTCACGGTGACTGAAGACAAAAGGTGTTGGATGTTAAATAGTTGTAAATTTATAATAATACATAACATTAATCCGGTTAAAAAGTTTTTTCTTTAAATTAAAAAAAAATGTTAAATTGGCTACCTCCTGACCCACACTTTATATAGCGTAAATATATTTGTCAAAAACTACACACAAAAAAGTTCAAGAGTACATAAATTTATTTATAAAAAAAACACAAATAAATAACATCGACTCCACTTATAGACGCGAGACTATTTGAAATGAGCGCACAATTTAGAATGTTGCGCTCATTTTTTGAGGACGTTTTTTAGACGTTGATTGTGCATCTTGGGTTTTTGTATATCAATGATATAAGGTATACCTTTTCATCGGTGGAGGGAGCGACTATAAACTTTCAAAAATGTAAAAAAAAAACTGTGCCATAGACATATTCGAGCACGTCAGATATTGATAGCATTCATATTTTATGTATTTTTATTGATGTACGTATGTTAATCGTATTACACTTTATCGACGAATTTTTCTGACTTCGGCTTGTGGAAATCGTGAGATTATATATTTTTCGTCATCCTTCAAAATTAATAAAAAATCAGCCACGCTCGAGAATTTCAAGATGAGGTTTTTTTACAACTTTGCAGCCCTCTCCTTTCTTTACGTTACTTGCGAATTGTCAGATTAGTAAAATATACATCTTAGCATGCCACGCTGTAGTAAATCCCGAAATCCCCTCGTGGGCTTCCCAGCTATTAAGAGCCCCTTTCACTTCATACTTACAATCATAACCGGGCACAGGATACCCAGCGGAATGTGGTCGTATACTCTTCACTCCATAACCCAGACAAGCTGCAGTGATGGGAGACCCAGATTCCGATTGCCACCAATGATTTAACACGGGCACTCCGAAAGTTCTTTCCGCCCAATGCTAAGTAGGGAAGTATTATTCTGTTAGTTACTACATTTATCGTTCTGACAACAATTCTGATTATAATGTTTGAAGTTCTGTAGCTCCTAATAATGGGCTCAGATGCAGACGTATTTGTGCGTATGCTTCATTGATAATTTTCAAAAAGCGAATATGTAATATACTCCTGTGCCTACCATTACGAAACAGGTAATGTTTCACTGAAAATGCAACCAGGACCTGGAGCTCTAATTTTAGAAACAATATTTTACTTTAAATTGAATTACGTATTTCAGACAAAAAAATTGTAGTCTGCTATTGATAATTTAAAATAAAATCGTATGACCTCGACATTAGCTTACACTTGGCCACATGACTATTTCTAAATAATTTCGGCTAATGATCATGATCATTGCAAAGTAATTGTGCGCTATAGTATTCTTACATTAACATCACCGTGATGCAAAACGTTTTAGCCTTCAAAAGCTATGTCGGCTACAGCATGTCTAACTTTTATATGATATAACAAGTCCTCAGCCGAGTCTATCTGCCTTCCAATTCGCGATAAACTGAAAGCGACTGCACGGAATGTATTGTGGTTTACGTAAATCTAGAATGATTTATGAGGAAGGTATATAATTTTTCAGAGTCGCTGTTGGCCATGCGAAATAGAAGCGGGTCGCTGGTGAGTACTGATTCAGTTTTTTATCATCTAAACCAGAGTTCCCCAAACTTTTTTTATGTCGTAGAGCCCTTGCCATATTTTTCCGTGTTGGATAGACCCCCTACTTACCTGATATTGATTTCCTGTAACTTTCCTAACTGTGGTTAAGTTTGGTGTTAAAAACTTAAATTTTTACGACGCGCGCGCAGCGTCACAAAACCCGATACCCTGAAGTTAGATATAGTCAACCTTTTAGTTTTTTCTATTGTTAGTGTCGTTTTTTTACAAACGTAGAATACCATTTTTGAAAAGATTTTTATCTTGTTACGCCAAAGAAGTATAACTTCTGACGCGTCTACACACACGTTTTTTTTAACGTCAGTTAAACCTAAGTTAAGTTTATAGTTTTGAATTTGGGAAAAAACGGATTCAACTACAGTCTACAGTGGATATAACGACAAACGTATGATGAAGTTGTGATTGCTACAATTTTGTTTTTACTTTGTATATTTTAATAACTTGCAACTTACAAGTAATTTAACTGGCCCATAAGTAAATTCACTAACCCTTGTTTCCTGGTCACAATGCTCTCCAGCCACGAAAACACTCTTCAATGTTTTGATGCAGTACCGTCTCGCGTATTTTCCACAAGAGTCAGCCCGTTTAAGTACTCTGCATACTGTTGGTATTGTGAACAATGCGTTCACTCGATGTTGTTCGATTATCCTATAATCATATTATTTCTTCACTGTCCTGTATGGATCAGGGTCTCTTAGGCAGTGGTCGGTGTTTCAATAGAACAAGTACACAGGCGCTAATCAAAGATTTAATTTGTACAACGAAAAATAAATACAAAAAATAGAGTGCAGCATAACCAAATTTTAATTATATTATAGCCAAACAAATATACGCACTAAACGTTTTTTAAATGATAAAAATAGAACAAAATTGTATACATAATATATCCGAAATCATTTTAAATGATTATCCATCACCTATATGACAATTTGATAAAACACAGTTCTTACAAATTAAAACACGTTAAAATATCATAATTGTTGCACGAAGATCACAAAATAAATTAGTATAAGTAGTACCAACCTAAAGTACTGCCCAGGATCAGGTGTTCTATCAGGCTTCCCTTCGTACAGCACAGAGGTAAGACCAGCTAATAATGGTCCATAGCAGATGTAGGAATGTCCCACCACCCAGCCAAGGTCTGATGCCGCCCACCATACTCCACGTTTAAGGCCATATATGGAACGCATCGACCAGCAAACTGTTGCTGCATGTCCACAGGGTCTTTGAAGACCTTTTGGAGAGTCCGTGGTACCTAAAATCATTTACTTATTTTTATTCGCGATAAATGTTTTATGTTGTAATATAAGTTGGTAGTACTAATCTATAAATAATTATTGTTAAATTACTGTTTTTGGTACCTGAAGTATACAAAATGTAAAGTGGTTCATTGGCTTCTAATGAAATACAGGGCACAGGTTCACTTTCCATCGCTTCGTCCCAGCATATATCTCTATTCTTCTCCAAGTGACACTCGAGAACTCTGCGGCGTTGGTAAATGATGCAATTACGCGGCTGGTGCGAACTTTGGCACAAAGCTTCGTCTAATATGTCTTTATACCTGGAAATACAATATTCTCATTTTACTTTTTTTATAGACAGCAAACAGGTAGGAGGCTAACATAAAATTCAGTAGTATTGTAAATTGAAGTATGATTCTTGTTTAAACTGTTTGATAATAGTGAATGAAAATAAATCTGTGGGGACCGATATTTTATATGTGAAGACAGAAATAACTAGACAAATCGATGATATGATAGTACAATTTGCCGTATTTCTATGTAAGAAATATTAGTATCCCATTACAAGATAATTATAAAGCATGATTTTTATATTCCTTTTTAAACAAGAGCTAAAAAATTATGAAAAACGGAAAGTTACGTGACGTTCATTTCTGCAAATTTTTATTAGGTAATTTTTTTTTTAAATAAGAATATTTTTTAGTAAAGTACCGATCTTCAATACTTTCAAGTGGTGTTGTCTTTTGTTTTAGATTCAAGGCAATTATACAATACTAGCTGAAAGCTCATGCCCTGAATCGAGCCTTTTATTTAAACAAAAGTAAAATCTATTCTTTCTAGTTCATACCTGACAATCTTATTTGGCTCAACTCCACAACTGGCTGCAATAATAACAGTGGGCTCTGCGTGTTCTATTCTAGTTCTCAATTCTCTTGCGGCGAAACCTATAAAAACATAATTATCTGGGATTAACTTAAGCTTATATTTATAATAATTAAAGGAGATTAACTTAACTTTATTTGACATTGAGTTTTTTATAGTGTAGCAACATAAGCATAATAAGTCGTGGAATTAATTAATGTGATTCATCAGACTTAGAATAATGCACCATCTCAGCACTTATTCTAAAATAAATGTATTGGTAATATAGATACTTACCTCCAAATACGACAGAATGTATAGCACCAACTCTGTTGGTGGCCAGCATTGCTATAACTGCTTCTGGGATAAGAGGCATGTAGATTACAACGCGAGAGCCACGGGTCACACCTAGTGAGGTCAACTTGCTTGCCAGGCGAGATACCTAGGTTGCAGAATTACGATAATTAATTTTGTTTAAGTCAGCAACTTAGTGCGGAATTAGAAATAAATATTTATTGGTTGTCCAAGTTTTTACATATCAATTCTGGATATTGCCGTGACGTAACGTGGTTGTTTATAATACACTAGCGGACCCGACAGATGTCCTGTACACACATACACAAAAAAGTTCACACAAATCGGTCCAGCCGGGGGACAAGACGGTGGAGTCTCAGTAGATGTATATTTGTGTAACATAACATTATTAGCGGAAGCAACTAAAAAGAGGGAGGAATCTTGTGAAACCATGTTAGTTCGTTAAGTGGATTTGAATTTTTATGTGGTATTTTTTTAATGTGAGTTATTCTCTAAAAAAAAAATTAAACGATAATCGAAGTAGTTAGGAACCACACAGTCTTGTCGGGATAGACAGAGGATGTAAAGCGGCATTCAGTATTCGTTTGATATAATGTATCATTTATAAACGAGTCTAAAATCTTTCAAAGGGAAGAGAGGGAGAGTTTTTAATAACGTATTCCTCAAAACGTTATTAAAAACCTCGTGGAAAGCATTCAAGCTTTGATTTTGGCAAGAGGAGGTGACACTCATTAGGTTTTTACAGTTGTAACTTTATTTAATTAAATTTCATTAATTTAACTGAAAGTTCTCGACTTTAGAACATACATGTGCCCGTTTTTCCTTGGAAAGGAGTGCGAAAGTAGGTCAAACTAAAATTACCTGATCCTGCAGCTCAGAGTAAGTTATTCTCTTGACTGTATCCGTAAGAGGCGAGTCATGCACCAACGCGACCTGATCTCCGCGACCTTGGACTACATGACGGTCGACTGCGTTGTAGCATACTGACATCTCACCACCTACAAACCTACAAGAATAAGAATAGATCATAAGAATGTATAAACTTTTATAGAAGGTTTAAGTTTTAAAGAATAAAGAAAAGAAGGTCTCATCCATCTCTCCCCAAAGTAAAACGACTCATTGGTATATATACGTATCTGTAAATGTAGTTAAACATATTATTCGCGTGGCAATTATATAAGGAATATATAATTGACTCGTGAATAATAGAAATTTAGTATTGAAAAGATTTTATCAGCAAGTCACGGGTTAGAGGTTCTAAAAAAACTGCCAACTATTGTCATGCTAAGCTTTTGTTAGCTAGTAGTTTACTTTTACATAATCAATGAAGTTTCATATAACAGTTTCCGGACTTCACATGACATACATAAAATACGAGGAAAAAATTAAACTCACCATTTGGTGAAAGGTGGATTACTATCATCTAGTACTTGATCCCATGGTCGGGTCCATTCTAACTCCTTGCCAACTTTACTCCAAAACGCCTCAGGGTTCTCAAGGGAGCTTCGGTAAGCCTCTAAGTATTCTGGTGTTAGGTCATTGTCCGCTGTTGAAATATATAAACAGCATAAGTCAAGCCAGCAGTCTATGCAACCTAGTCTTTCTACAAAAAATATTGTTTCAAAGAGATAAACCCTTTAGAATATTCACCCTAATCATGCCATCTGTGAGGGGGTGAGTGAGTGAGAGACTGTGAGTGAAATGCCTTATTTCCTTTTTCGTAATAATTATACAATCTGGGGACCTTCCCCAGCCGAACCACCTGACGAAAGCCGTACTGATAATCGCTAATCAGCTGGTAGCCCTCTAGATACTGGCCATTAATATTTTTTTTTGGAGAACAAGGACTATAGCTATTGGGCGATAGATAGTTTGATCAAAGCGATCGCTCTTTTTAGGGATCGAAGGTATTGAACTAGGTATTCTAGCACTTCGGGACAATGCCAAACGAGTATAGGTACCGGAAAGGGCGGTTAAGGAGAGCTAACTAAGAAGCGGCACAATAGGGGGATGCCATCAGGCCCGCTCGGCTTATGAATGTCCAAGGAAGATAGTTCTTTGCGAAAAGCACGTTGCCAGAATATGAATTCCGGCATCGAAGTATCACACTACGAACGAACCACCGGTCCGTTCCTTCAAGCGTCCCGAGGCGGTGAGAACAGAAAGCCTCTGACGTACACGCGAACTCCCGCCCGTGGCACAAATGAATGCAGAATAAACAATTAATTATTCTGAATACAACTCATTGTTATACCTGAATATATAAATTATGTCATAATACGATGTGAAAATGGAAGTTGCGTCCAGTATTTTCTAAAACATACAAAACAGGGTAAATTTCATTTATTATAATTTACACTACCCAAGGGATTTACCTGCATAATTAAATAAAGTCTAGGAAAAAATCTAAATATAAAAAAGGACAACATCTAGGTACGTCAGGGACTGAAAAACAAGAATGTAAAAATTGCTTTGTATTTCGAAATTATAGATCAGCCTTGCGATTCTGTAACTCACTTTTCGAACTCTCACAGCGGTTTTCGCAGCGGCGGTCGCTCTCAAATCAGTCGTGAAGCAGTCATTTTATAATTTGAGTTCGAAAAGTGAGTTACAGAATCGCAAGGCAGTTTAGCTTTAATATTGAGTAAAACGTATTTTTATGTATCTGCTTACACAAATTAAATCCACATGTGGTAATTCTGTATATAGGTTTTTAAGAAAACGAGTAAATATTTGTGTTTGTATTTTTATTTGTTGCTATATTACAATAATTTTTTGATAATCCTACTACAAATAGCACGCTGTGAACTTCAACAAAGAACTGAAGTTGCTAACCACAGCTGGTACGTAATGTGGTATTTCAGAATAGTTGAAACAAATGTGAAACTTGAAACTAGTAAAGTAGCCGCGCCGTTAAGGTCAAACTAGACACTTTGCTACGCTACAAGCATAACGCCGAGTTTCAGAGTGCCCAAACCCCTTCCCTCCCTAATTTAATCGTTTCTTAAGTAGCTAGTAAGATGACAAAGATCTGCTAACTAATATCTTGTTACCTTTCATATATAAGCCACCATAAGAAAATAGTAATAGAATTTTGGGAAGGAACGAAGCGTTTTTATAACCCTCGTTTACTTTTAAATTGGCTACTTCAAATTATTTTTTTGTTTTTTCGATATCGTCCAAATTTTTTTTTTTTGTAAAAAAAACTGAAAATATTGTTACGTTTGAATAAGTATAGTAACAATATAGAAACATGCGGAAAGGTCATAAATACTAAAAAGTAGGTTCTAGGAATATTAACAAAAATGATCAAAGCGCAAGTCATTGCCTAGATTATGTTAATAATCTATGGGTATAATCTATAGTCGTCTAGATGGCAACTGAATTAATAAATTATTGAGATTCACTGGATAGCATCTATCTTCAACCGTATCTATCCATTTTATACTAATGAGTTGAAATTTGAAAAAAAGGTACTTTCGAGTAAAAAATAAAAAAAATACTTACAAAAGCTCTCCAAATCAGCGGCAGTCACAAATGATTTCTTTTTCAACTCCGAAATCGAAGTTTCAAATTTATTAACTTTTGACATAGCATTTTCCGTATCTTGATACATTTTTGCCGCGCAAAAACTGAGCGCGTTTTATTTTTATGACGACAACGCGAGTTAAAACGAACTAACTATAATTGTTCTGAGTTACATACGCATTCATAATACAACATTTATATTCAACATTATGCATGAGGGACCTATGATCCTTCTGAATTATTGAACGGCTAAACTGAAAAGACTGACGTAGGAAAACTTTTAAACCGAATAGCGATGACTCTTTGATAACCAAAAATAATAGAAAAAATATTGGTGTAAGCAAAGAAAATACAAAAGTTAATTTTATTTATATTTAAGGTTAAACACTGGTGCCGAGTCGTCTAAGAGTCAGAGGATATAAAAATGAAATAATTAATTATTGACGTACTACAACTCTTAATATACCTACTATTCTAATGTGTAAACCCTGTTGCTTTTTGCTACGTTTCTAAAAGTTATACGTCAATTAGACTTACTAAAACATATAATCCTTTACACTTAAGATTTTTAATAAAAAATCCCTATAAAAAATCTTTCAAGCCATAAGTTAGTAAGTATTATGAATAGAAATGGTAATCGTTATATAAGTATACATATTAATTTTTGGCACCGACATTTGAAACTTACCCTAAAAAATCTAAAAATTCCGAAAGATTTTTTTTCTAGACCTCGTCGACAGACAGGTTGACCTTGCTTTCTTCTTTCTGCTATGATTTATGTTCTCTCGAGCTCTGAAATGCCAAACTCTTCTTCTTCGTTGATAACACAGCAATATTCTTTTACTCTTGAGAACAAGCCACACTGTCAGCTCAATTAGGTCTTCTCTCAATGGCTTTCAAATAATCTTCTTTCACTCAGCAAACCAAACTATCATGATTATATTACTAATTTGAGCAATTTTTGGGGTTCTCAAATAATCTACCTATGTTTTCGCGTTCGCAATCAAGTTATAAATGTATTCAAACGTCTCAGAATGTCTTTGGATCCGCATACAATAAAGATAGTGTATACTGCATTATTTCAGTCGATATTATCTAATTGCATTTCAGTATGGGGTGGAGCTGCATTGTTTTCAATGCTGAAAATTTTGCTTGCCCAATGCGACAGCTATGCATAATTTCAATTTTTTTTGGTTACAATCACCAACCACACCATATCATACACAACGCAAACCTACATATATACTACCCAAAACGAACATTCTTCGCCCCACGCTTATTCTCTTTCAGAGGTTCCAACCTTATTATTTAAACTTTCCAACATATGCTGAAAGGTATTTAGTCTTGTGCAACAGTAGTTTGTATATTAAAATTGTAAGTGCTATGTAGAATTAATTAAGTCAAGTACCTAAAATCATTAATGTCAAATGGACGAGACCACGACACTGGGAATGCTAGTGTGGGGGCTAATCTCGTACTTTATCTTCCAACTACACATCCTTTTTTAGTATGCGTAATAAAGTATCTTGCAATGTCATCTATTTATGCATCCTTCTAACAATTACCCTTTTAATCTTAGCGACGCCATATATTGGTAGCCGTTAAGACTTAGGCATCTCATAATGTCATGGCCATGCCAATGCTTTATCAACCTCACATACTTCGACGGTTTCTCTCTTATCTGTATTTAAAGCTTGCTCTACGTTTTACATGCAAATCCCTCTGATAAATCACTATCTTGCAGAAATTCCGCTTTTATTTTGTTACGGACAACGTTCAATACAATTTAGAAAGCTGACGAACGAAGCTGCCAGCCAGATGTTCTTCTAGGAAACGGTCGGCGGTGCGCAGGTAGCGGAAGGGTCGGTCGGTCCCTTTGACCAGCGTGGTAGTTTAGGATTAGTTTTAAGTTATTATTTGTATAACAACCAGATAGATTTACGCAGCCGTGCCGGACGGACATTAGTTATAAGCTTGCTTCGCTGTATTATTGTGTCACCATCACTAACGTTCGACCAATAAACGGAACTTTTATAACTCCACTCCGAGTTTCATTTCGAGAATAGCGGCGGTGGTTCAGATCGACATCGTAAGCTTATAGTTTGGTCCTTCGAGAAGCCGGATAACCAGAAGAATAATACTCTACGCATCGACGCCGAGAAGAAGGAAGATTTTAGCTGCGATCCCAGGAAGATTTTCATCGGCAGTACTACCTGCGATCCCAGGAGTACGTGCAGAGGGTTGACTTCATCGCCTGTACAAAGTGACTCGCCGCAACGACGTATTGCTGCTGTGGGTCACTAAATAAAAGCATTATCCACCAGTTCATCGAAGCGAAGAATACAATCGTCTTTAAAATAAACACAAGAAGCCGATAAGCTAGGAGGGCAGATGAAATCGATGAATATGTACGGACAGAACGCGTGCCGTTAGAATCACCATCGAAAGTCCTAGAACGTGGACTAGCCGATATTACACACGACAGGGAGTCAGTTGAATCAATACGGAGGAATGAAGCCCTTGATTCAACGTTGTTACCTGTGGGTTCAGCATCACAGATCTCTAGAAATACAATGAGGTCGAAAACATCCCGTGTAAGGCAAGCTGAATACAAAGTCCAAAAACGCTTGGTCGCATTAGAAAAAGAATATTTAAAAAAAAAGTTCGAATTAAAGAAGCAGGAGATGGAACAAGAGATGGAGCTTGAAATGAAATTGTTAAAGAAGCGAATCGCCGTTGACTTAGCCAGAGCAGACGGTGAAAAGAGTATCGTCAAATGCTTGCCAGAACAGCGGAACGGGAGCAATTCAACTGTTATGGTAGATAAACGGCTAAGAAAGCATAGCGGCGAGAATAATCTATCTCAGGGTGATAGGGAAGAAGACACAGTGCTCGCAGAACGCGTAAAGCCATGCATACAGAAAGTGTCTTGGGAAATAGAACGGCCCATATCACCTATCGAAGAGGTCTCCGTGCCGAGAACACGATCCCAAGATCGAGGGATGGAACGGCTCAGCGGAGCCTTTGAAAAAATAGCTACAAACAGACCCCCTGTACGACATGCTCAAGATCTGCCGCAGTTTAACGGGAATGTTTTTTTTTTTTTTTTTTTTTTATAGAACGGGGGGCAAACGGGCAGGAGGCTCACCTGATGTTAAGTGACACCGCCGCCCATGGACACTCTCAATGCCAGAGGGCTCGCGAGTGCGTTGCCGGCCTTTTAAGAATTGGTACGCTCTTTTCTTGAAGGACCCTAAGTCGAATTGGTTCGGAAATACTTCAGTGGGCAGCTGATTCCACATAGTGGTGGTGCGCGGCAAAAACTGCCTTGAAAAACGCTCAGTTGTGGAACGGCGGACGTCGAGGTGATACGGGTGGAATTTCGTATTCTGTCTCGACGTCCGATGATGAAACTCAGCTGCAGGTATTAATCCGAATAACTCCTCTGAACACTCTCCATGGTAAATGCGGTAGAAGATGCAGAGTGACCCCACATCTCTACGCAACGCCAAAGGATCAAGCCGCTCGGAGAGGGATTGGTCGTCGACGATTCGAACCGCTCTGCGTTGTATACGGTCAAGTGGAAGGAGCTGGTACTGGGGAGCCCCCGCCCAGAGGTGAGAGCAGTACTCCATGTGGGGCCGAATTTGCGCTTTATATAGTTGCATGCGGTGGCCCGGAGTGAAGTACCGCCTCGCCTTGCTGAGCACACCAAGCTTTTTGGAGGCTAATTTAGCCTTTCCCTCCAAATGACCGCGAAACTGAACGTCGTTCGATATGTCAACGCCAAGTATTCCAATGCTGGCTGTGGCTTTAAGAAGAGTGTTTTCGAAAAGAGGAGTAGCGACAAAGGGTGATTTTTTAGCGGAAAACGCGCAAACTTGTGTCTTCTTGGGGTTAAATTGGACTAGGTTTTGTCTGCCCCAGTCTGAGACTCCACGTAGTAGAGTTTCGACTTCAGACACAAGTTTGTTCCGGTACTCATCAACAACTGCCCGAGAAATACCTGCCCGGCCAGTGTAAAAAGTATCCCCAGTGCTGTCATCCGCATAGCAATGAATGTTGCTAAGTTGCGACATATCATTGATATGCAAAAGAAATAGGGTTGGGGATAGAACACAGCCTTGTGGGACCCCAGCGTTCACAGGTTTAAGGTCGGAACATGCTCCGTCGATGACGACCTTGATGATCCGATCGGCCAGAAAGCTGGAGATCCAATCGCATAATTTCTCGGGAAGCCCATAGGCTGGAAGCTTCGAGAGCAGTGCTCTGTGCCACACCCGATCGAAGGCTTTCGCTATGTCCAAACTTACCGCCAGCGCCTCCCCCTTGGACTCAATTGCCTCTGCCCACCTATGGGTAAGGTATACAAGGAGGTCACCAGCTGAGCGACCACGACGAAAGCCGTACTGAGAATCGCTAATCAACTGGTGGCCCTCTAGATACCACAAGAGCTGGCAATTAATAATGGTTTCCATTATTTTGGAGAACAAGGAGGTTATAGCTATTGGGCGATAGTTGGACGGATCAGAGCGATCGCCTTTTTAGGGATCGGATGTATCGAAGCGGTCTTCCAGCACTTCGGGACAGTGCCGAGCGAGTACAGGTACCGGAAAAGGCGCGTTAAGACCGGAGCCAACTCAGGAGCACAAGTACGCAGCACAATTGGGGGGATACCATCCGGCCCGCTCGACTTATGAATGTCCAAGGAAGATAGTGCTTTGCGGACAGCACGTTGCCGGAATGTGATTTCCGGCATCGAAGAATCACACCGCGAAATGGTCGGTGGTGATCTTCCTTGGTCATCCAAAGTCGAGTTGGACGCGAAGAGACAGCCCAAAAGGTCGGCCTTCTCCTTCGCAGTGTGGGCCTGAGAGTCATCCTCCCTGTGCAGTGGCGGAATGGCGGGCTGACAAAAATTCCCTTGGACAGCTTTGGCGAGAGACCAGAAGGCTCGAGTCCCTGAAGGGAGCTGGGCCAATCTCTCGCCAAATCTGGCAATGTGCTCTGACTTTGCCTTAGTGATTTCCCGTTTAAAGAACCTGGAGGCTGAGTTATATGCTGTTTTAAGTTCCCTGGTATTGGCAT